TACGACCGAAGGAGGGGATCAGAAGTTGATTTGAAGATACGGTAGAACTTCTTTAAACCGTGAAGTGGGATTCCTTGACTTCAGTGACTGTAATAGTATCCTAGTTTCCATCAGAATAAGTTTAGAAATGGTGACCTGATTGTAATGCAAACTTCCAGCAATCTTCCTCAACCAAATTCTCTCATAGGATATAAAAGTCTGTATGTATTTATTTAGAAATATTGACAAATACATGTTGTCATTGTGGCCAAAATCCTCAACTCTGTTAAAGCAATATTGTGCAGTCAGTTCTACCACCAAAAAATTATTGAGAGTGTGTATATCTGAATTTCAGATTATATGCTCCAAGTTACTCTAGTAAAAATTTGTTTTAAAACATTGTTTTTCAGTGAATCATTGTCTCGTAGACTGGGAAGCCCATGGGATAGCGTTATTTGTTTTTAGGAGTTCTACAGTATGGTCATGTTGATGTTACACTAAAGAACTATTCCAGTACTGTTATGGAAGTGATTACGATGGTGGGTCATGGGGGGGGGTTCTTTGTGCTCACCAGTGGAGATTTCATGTCCTGAATACCTTGTGCTTTTGCTGAAGACCTGTCATTTACTGTAGTTGCTGCTATGATGAGCTGTTTTTGTGGTAAATTATATCTACAGCTACCAGTATAATACTTGTTCTAGAGAGCTGGAAAAGCCTTACACAAAAGAGAAGGGAAGAAAGATGATATGAAAGTACAGGGAGAACGGAAGAGAAAGCATTCCAAAGAAGATGATATGAAAGTACAGGGAGAACGGAAGGAGAAAAGCATTTCCTGCAACCTGAGAATGGGATAGTAATATCATAATATCATTAGCTGTAGTTCAGATTAAATGCTGTAGAGATACTCATACTTGATATTACAAGGAGAAGAACAAGAGATGGGTAAGATGTCAGTTCGTGCAATGCGATGGTGTTCGTTATATTTATTTTTTTCTTCCAGTGGCATTGTCTCTTGCATTAACTCTCTTTATTTTTCTCTCTCTCTCTCTCTCTCACTTTTTCTACCTTATTGATGGCAGAGGTACACAGATAAACCTTTCATCCTTGAATGGTGATACCGAGTGACTTTAAGATAAGGTGATTTTTATTTACAGACCTTGGCTTATGATTGTAAAATGAAAAATCATCAGTGAGCATGACTTGTTTCAAGAACTCATATTCACTAGAAATAGCAAGCCTGGGCCATTACTTTAGAGGAATTCTATTATGTTGTTGGCACAACTAGCGGGCAAGCTAGGTAAAGGAGCTAAAAAGTATAAGCAGAGAAACTGAACTGTTGACCAAAGGTATCAAAGGAACAGTTGCCTAGAAGTGTGAACCATCTCATTTTTATTTTATTGAAGTTATGGTAAATCTGGATCCTGGTGTTATCTCAAAAGTGTTTTATATATATATATATCACAACGTGGACCTGTAATATGATGATGATGGCGATGAGCACATTCTCTTTTATCCTTTTCTTTTTGCAGTTTCTGTGCATTTAAATGAAAGTAACCGAAATTCTTGTAGCGTTGTGGAGTTTACAGTTGTGTCCCCGAAAAAAAAAATTGTTTTTCAGGAGGTCATGCTGTATTTAAGGAAAATATGCTTTTTATTTCCTTTGTCTTACTGTAAATTGTTGTGCCAAATGTGGGAAAGCTCAAATTCACAGGAGTAATATGTTAATTTGCAGTTGGTATAAAGTTTTTCTGCAATTTTATTTTTGTTATTACCGTTTTTTTTATAATAGAAACACAAAGCAGGTACAGATTGCGATGAAGTTGGAGGAAACACACAAAAACAAAAGTGATGGGTGTAATAGCTGTTAAGTTTGATGAATCTTCGTACTGTGATTATGCTCTGAATTGTCAAGAAGCGTTTGTTATGCCAGTACAATGTCCTGCAATGTATGGCAGAGTTGGATTTGCCATGACTTGCCTCTCATAAAGCCAGTCACGGTAAATGTGCCGGGTATGGAATAACACAGGTAGCACAAATGGTCTGTTCCCGAGTCGAGGTGAAACGAAGGCCCTGATTTACAAAGAAGTATCACAATTGTCTTCTTTGACAAGTTGCTGTTATAGCTACTACTTTTTTTCTTTTTCTTTTTTCGTCATATGATATGGACTCTTGGGGAATTGAAAGCAAAAGCAACTTTTGGTTAAATTTTAAGATAACCAAGAAAGATTTTCGTTCTAGAAAGATCTTTTGTATTTGTGATATGTACTGCTTTCAGAGTTCGTTATTGAATGATTTCAGAGTGATTTTAAAATGGCAGTTGTTGAGTAGATGGGTGAGAAAATTAGATTCTCATATGATTACACAAGTTTGTTTTTCTTTATTTAATGTTGAGATTTAAGAGATGGTAATAAATGCAAGAAAGCTATGGATTATTCATGGAGTTCAATTAAAAAAAAAAAAAAAAAAAAAAAGAGTTGACAGGTTCTTGTCTCTGATTAATAAAGGGATCCTCTTTCTGAAAGCATTTGACAGGTGAATATTTTTTAATCATAAAGATATTTTATACGGAAATGTTTTCTGGGAAAAGACGAGTACCTTTCCAAGCTCATTTTGATTGGTCTTCCATTTTACGTTTACACATTATACTCTGCTTTAAATCGGTTTTATCATTCTTCTTTCTTCTCTTGGTCTGGCTGTTGAAATGTCCAAAATGTGATTCAAAGAAATGAGGAGGAAGGCAGTAGTACCCTCTGCCGCTGTTTCCTTTCTTCAACCTTACTTGTTTGTCTTTGTTTTTTTTTACGCATAATATATATCTGTGTATGTTCGTGTGTGCTTGTGTGCGTGCATGCGTATGTGTGTGTGTGCATATGAGCGCGTGCATGGGTGTGTGTGTGCACACGTGTACATGTATATGTACTTATATGTACATGTTTGTGTCTATATATATTTTCACATAGATTGCATGGGCCTGGTGTTTATTACCTTGTTCTCTGCCTTTCAGTATTGATGCGTAATGGAAGAAGGCTCAGTTTTTCTGGTGTACATGTGGATACCAACACATGGACTAAGGCGGGAATTTCCTATTTTTATGTTGTGGTATTTGATATATTTTGTATTTTTATATGTACTGTCTTCAGTTAAGTAACTTTTTTATCATGTTTTTTTTTCTCTCTCTCTCTCTCTCTTTCTTTTTACTTGTTGAATATTCATATTTTATTTTGTGGACTCCATTTATCTCCTCCTAGTAGAGAAAATCATTGTTGTTCTGTTTATACACATACTAAAAAATAAAAAATAATCACAAAGTATATGTAGAATGAAGCAGCCTGCTTCTTTCTCTCTCTCTCTCTCTATCTCATAATGTGGACCTAAATAAACTTCATAGTCATGGACACTTCATTGTTCTTGCAAAAATATACATGTGCACAAAAGAGTAAACTGTATTTTATAGAATACATCATACAGGGCATGCAAACAACTTTTTTCTTTCTTTCTTTCTTTATCTTCAATACTTCTTAACAATCTGTAAAAAAGATGGTGCTGTTTGATAGCAAATTGACAAATTAAATATCAGGTATTAGATTGATCGGGTTATATCTCGTTGTGTAGGGTATAAGCCATAGTTGGTGGGCATGATACATATTTTATTCATCTGTGTTTCGTCATTTCTTTCAGTTTTTAGGAAATAATTAAACTTCAATTCACGGTTTCCTTCGAAAAGGGAAGAAAACCCCCTTCCCTTGGTAATGGTATATATGTACAAATTCATGATTGACTTGAACTGCATATCAGGTAGATATGCACAGAGCAGTGTTCATATCACAACGTGGTAACTCATCAGGTATTTTTTTTTTTCGTTTGCAAGAATCATATCCTTGGTGAGTGGCAGGGGGAGGGGGATGGGGGGGGGGAGGGCATGAGAAACTGTTTAATAGGTAGTGAGTCTTAGCAACTGGTGAAATGTCTTTTATTATCTGCTGTAAGTTAAATAGTGTTTAGGTTGTGTTTATATGAGAAGGTATGATTCAAACCATGCATTACGGCATTTATTTACGTATTTTTTTTATTTATTATTATTGTTATTTTTATTTTATTATTATTTTTTTTTCTTTGTTAGGTAAGGAAATCAGTTAAAGAGAGAAATTAATTTTGTCTTTTTAAAATATTGCCATGGTTCATTTGCAAATTTGTCAGTTGTAAATATATATATATATATTTAATAAGCTATCTTTCATCATACATATGGACACCATAACTACAAGATATAGTAACCATTAAAAAATACAAACAAAAAACTTTTACAAGCCCCAGTGCAGTCTAATAACCTGAATAGCACTGACTGACCATTAATTAATTACGCCAGCACGCGTACCCCCTGTGTTTTATTACCAATTTCTACCGGAACGAAATGTGTTTGTCACAAAATTATTACGTAAAATAATGACAGTCTTTATTGCAGCAGCTTCATAGTATTGTACGACTGAAATTTGACAGAATGCGTATGAACCGCTTAAATGTGTATATTGTAATACCACATGATTTGAGTGTCAAATTATTACTTTTAATAACTGCATATGAGAATACAAATATTTTTGGATATTTCAGCTAGAATTCTTCAAGGAAATGCATACAGGACAATAATAAGCCTTCTTTTCAGTCTGCAAGATGCTGCACAGTAACTGTTGTGTGTATAATAATGTATGTAATTAATTTTTCTTTTCATACAGAAATCATTATTTATGAAATGGCTGGTATGAAGGTTTCATAAGAACAGTGTTCATATATTGTAGTATTGTCTAAAATATTTCACTTACATATTAAACACTTTGGTCTTTATATCGACTTCTAAGCAGAGATAATAAAGTGATGAGATCTGTTGAACAGTGGGCAGTATTTACTTATTTAACTGTTGTTGTTTTTTTCTTTTTCTTTCTTTCTTATTTTAAATTGTTATACATGGAACATAAAAATATTTGTACAGATTTTTCTCCTGATTTCTCTCTCTCTCTATCTCTCTCTCTCTCTCTAATGTTTTAAGTATGAAAGTATTGTAAGTATGCTCCTTAATAGGGTAACTATGGTAAAGTGGATAAGTGTACTGACATAGAGGCAGTTGTATTATCATGTCTTTTCCCCCACTAAAAAAAATATATATAAAAATATAAAAAAAATCATATGCTAGGTAATATCTTCTTGTGCAACGGGACCTGGAAAAATAAGAAAACGAGTTTGTAATAAAGGAGTCGACAGCGAATGAGCAGGCAGTGGAGGTATTGTTGGTATCAGCAGGAGAAATTTCCACTAATAAATGTACATTTTCCTTTCTTGTGTGTTATTATTTGTCCTTACATGTATGCACATAAGGTATGCTCTGTTCAACTATCTTTCAAACCTATCAATATATTTGCTGGGCTGCCATACCAAGCTATGTCTGGAAAGTCTGTCAATACTGCTGGAAGATGTGTTGAAACTATGTAAGCTATAACTGAAATAAGAAACTAGTACACCAAATTCATAATGCACAGGAACTTTTTTTTCTTTCTTTTTTCTTGAGCTAACACCTGATTTTCACCCTTCTATTCCTTTCCCCTATAAATTTCAGACTTTCTTAATCGTTCACATCTGAATGTTGGCAAATGAAAATACTTTCTATTTCAATGGTGCTGGTCTTTTTTTTTATCATATGACATTGTAGATCAGAATGGTTGAGATATATACAAACTACTATGGCACCTGGTCAAACTTGACTATTTCCATGACAAATTTAAATTATTATTGATATTTTTCCAGAAAGAGGAGTCCAAAGTTTTCAGTAAGTACCATTGCACTCTTTTCTAAACAAATTGCTTATAACTTCATCACACAATATTCATCAACTGGAGCTCAAATGGTGGTTAGAGATAATGCCATGCTTCATCATATTTTAATCTCTCTAACTTCATAACAAAATAATTTAGATACAAGACTCGAATACCTGCATTGTGCAATCACTCAAAAGCAATTAACAATCAAAACCATTGCTTGAGGTCTAGGAGACTGTACAATAAGAAAAAAATATAACAATAAATTAAAATACACATGTTCATTCAGCATAAAGCCTTCATAAGCTTTACAGAGACAAAACACATGCCCATACTAAAGGCAAATATAAAATATATAATGTATATAGATCAGAAAACCTATAGCCCCAAATTCCAAACACCTTCATGATGTCTTAAGAAGCACTTGACATTCCATGTGCACTCATTCCTCTCTCCAAGAGCTTGAGCATGACCGGATACACTGGGGCAAACTGTGTGAGGTTACGCGATCTGACATTGGCAACGTACGCCTCCAGGGCACCTCTCACAAGCTGCAATCTCTCGCGCTCGTCACGATGCTCATCCAGCCAGTTGCTATACCTGCTGACTGACCATCCTGCAGTCTAAGAGGGAGAAAGAAGAAGAATAAAAAGGTGTTTGGTTAGTAACTCCACATCTTTGACTTTTTCAAGTACTAAAATTATATGAAAAATCGTTTTAGTAATAAGATGACAATAATAGGGTTAATATCATATTTACAAAGAAAAGAAAAGTGATGGTAGTAAAACTATGATCACTAATTAATTAATATCAGCCATCGACATAAAACTGTCTGACAAATCTATACCCAGGTACGTAAACTAACCCAATTGGCACAGATGGCAAGAATAAATGCCATGCTCACTGTAATATAAGTTCATCTATTGTCTTTACACATAGATGGCTCTACAAGTGTTTAGTCGCCAAGAAGTCAGCTATCAGTCCTACCAATATCACTTTTTACCCTAATCCTTGATTTTTGGAAAGCTTCATTTGTACTATATTATTGTCTTTAATGTTATTAATAATTTATTAACAATTTAGTAATCATAATATCAGATAGAATAATAACAGTATCAGTATTAATAGCAATAGAAAGAAATACACATTTTCCTGCAATTTCAAGGAATGGGGAAATCAGGAGTGGTCACTAGTGCCTACTGATAGACTCCTTGGTGGCTGAGCACATGTGGAGCCATCTGTATGTAACAAAATTCACAAAAAAAAAACAGGGGATAGTACATGAATCCATTGTCATTGAGTTCATAGCACAAAGAATCTTAAGAATATTTAATAATGAATTCTTTTATGAGCCAAAACAAACGCATGAACACAAATCTACCTGATGCGGAGAGCGAAGTTCCGGAGGAGCCTTGGCAAACAGGAAGTGCAGAATGACTGAGTAGGGAATGACATCTCCAATGCTGGGCGAAGTGCTGATGTGGTCTGTCGTCTGGAACAGCAGTGGTCGGAAGGTCCTCACGATGCGGTATGGCTTGCCCAGCTCTGATGGACGGCCGCACAGGGGGTTGATGGCCAGTTCCATCTGGGAGATGAGATAAAGAGTGTGAACACAAACAATGTGCTCCCGCCTGACTCAATCACTGACACCAAACCATGAACTATGAACAACAATGAAGTAAGAATGAGAGTATTTATAGGTGAGGAGAAATCTACGTTGAGAATTACAGGTACCCTTGCTATATGATGAATCACCATATACATATTGTTTGTGCTTAATCTGTTGTGTAGTGTAATAATAAAAAAGGTCTAGGCATAGTGGAAATGTGTCAACCAAATGCATCGGGGGGGGGGGGGGGATTGTATTTATATTTTTCCTGTCTGAGCTGAATCAGTCAAGCACAGCCTTTCAAAAACTGGCAGGCTGTTTTCCCACTGTCAATTGGAGGGAGGGAGGACAAGTAACATTAGTCATGAAGTTTATTATAATTAAATAAATGAATAGCAACAAAAATACAGATAACCTCAATCAATCATATAATAAATATCAAACCACCCTACAAGTCTAGAAACCAAAGTGCTTACAAACCTGGGCAAAGTCTGCTGCCAGTCGCAGTTTTCCACCATCTCCTATTGGACGCAAGAGACTAGTGTGACGTACAAACAATTCTAGGCATCTGCATGCTAGCATATGCACACTGCAAAAACCAGGATTTACATTAGTTAACATAATTATTACATACAAGGATCTGAGTTAAAATGAATGTAAAAAAAAGAAATATATGAACAAGAATTATCATCAAGACAAGACTCCAAGAACCTGCGCTTACTTTTCCTTTATAATTACTGACGGCTGGTAAATAGCAACATAATCTGTTGCTACTCGGTTGATAAATCCCTGGAGCTCTTTCATGTAGAGTGAACACTGGGAGTCACTGCCACCTGTATCCCCTCTATAACAGAATAGCAATAAAATCATGATCATTCTGCATGAACTGTTGGAGCAAGTGAATGTAAAAAAATAAAAATACAGATACTAATAGTAGAGAAAATAATCATTGACACAGTTTGGCATACACACTGAAGAACTCACCCAGAAAAGTCCTCATTATGCATTGTTAGAATGATGGCTTCCACTGCTTGTGTAATGGAGAGGAAGAGAGGCTGCACTGCAGATGCCATGAGAGCATCTATGGGTGGAAGAGCCTGAAAAAAATAAATAATAAAAAAAATAATAAATAAGTAAAATGTAGTAAAAAGAAGTCTGGTGAAAAAGATGGTTACCTCCAACAAGAACTTTTTACATTCAAAAGAGACAGAACCAAACAGAGGGTAATACCCCTTACCTGCAGGAGGGTATTGGTGACAGGCTGTGGCAGATGGGCCAGTGTGGCTGAGGCTGTGCGTTCTATTTGACTTCTGACATAGAGCAGCTGGTTCACCACAGCTCCGTTCAAGGCCTGACCAGCAGTTGGGGTACCTGGGAACCAGGGGATGAGATTGACATTGATCATCTCAGGTTGTAAGGCTCTGTGAACCCAAGGAAATTACATTATTCAGCAAGGGTAATTCTAATGCACAATATGCAAACTAGCTCTGTAGGTACTTCTAATTGTCTGTAATTAGTGTATGCATGTGTGTGTGTGTGTGTGTGTGTGTGTGTGTGTGTGTGTGTGTGTGTGTGTGTGTGTGTGTGTGTGTGTGTGTGTGTGTGTGTGTGTATACATATATATATATATATATATATATATATATATATATATATATATATATATATATATATATATATATAAAAGCATATATACTCACATACATACATACATACATACATGCATATATGTACACACACACACACACACACACACACACACACACACACACACACACACACACACACACACACACACACACACACACACATATATGTAACAGGAATCAGGAAACAATTTGTTTCTGAAACTTACCAATAACTTGACTAGCTTCCCCATCTGTGACCAACAACTGCTTACATTTAGTACAGAAAAGTTGTAGTGTCTTTACAACATTTCTTGCCACAGTCTCACTCAGGGATTTGTCAACTGCAGAAATGTTCAGCTCGCTGGTGAAAACATTAAAAATATAAGTAAAACAACATATTAAAAACACAATCATATATGTATAAATATATATACATATTTTATATACTTATTAATATATATATCAATATATATATATATATATATATATATATATATATATATATATATATATATATATATATATATATATATATATATTTACTTGGAACAATCTACACATGCATAACAATAGAATACAAATAAAAAATGTTTGTGGGTTGTGGGTATTCTCTGGTATTCTCTCTCTCTCTCTCTCTCTCTCTCTCTCTCTCTCTCTCTCCTCTCTCTCCTCTCTCTCCCTCTCTCTCCCTCTCTCTCCCTCTCTCCCTCTCTCTCCCTCTCTCTCCCTCTCTCCCCTCTCTCCCCTCTCTCCCCCTCTCCCCCTCTCCCCCTCTCTCCCCCTCTCCCCCTCTCCCCCTCTCTCCCCTCTCTCCCCCTCTCTCCCCCTCTCTCCCCCTCTCTCCCCCTCTCTCCCCCCTCTCCCCCTCTCCCCCTCTCCCCCTCTCCCCCTATCTCTCTCACACACACTCATACATTTTTTTCTGAAGGGCTTAGGTTTCTGACCATCTTGATCCCAGACATATTTAAGAATAATGGAAAATATACAAATATTTATCCTTTTACACCTGTCAGCTGAGTTGGAACATGCAACTCAACTGCACGGTCAATTCCCACACCCCATGCTAGGGGTAAACTCCTCCCCAACTTCCTTGAGATTTCAGTTCCAACATGTATGCCTTGCTCCACAGATTGTAAAAAAGATATTCTCCATCCTTTTTTCCATCTAAATGAATGTCATGAATTCTCAAACACTTGTAATTGTTAACAGTGAGTTAGGGAATAAAGAGTCACCCACTCCCTCCACAATCTAGTGAGGAAACACACCCACAGTGTTAAAAGAAACACTACAACACTGTATCCAGAGACGCTAAGAAAAAAGTAACAGTTTATATTTATATATAACATAAAGACTCTTACCTTGTAATAGTTTTTATCAAGGCATCAACCTCATCCTTAGCAGGGGGGGCATCTTGGGCAGCGAACATAAGGTTGACAGGATCAAAGAGGCGAGAAAGAGATCTGGAGAGGTAGGCTTTCTCTAGGGGCACCAAGGTATGTCGAAGAGCTTGTTCTGGACTGTAGGAAAAAATGAAGCAAAATCAAATATAAGGATTTGAACTATATCATAAGTTAAAATATAGCATAAATTTTATCATCTATGTGTTAAAATATATATATAAACACACACGCATGCATGCACTCACAAACACACACACACATATTTATACATATAGTATAGGTACAAAAACTACACATTATATCACTGTTAGCTGAGAAAGAGACTTTCAATGCTACTTGAAACACACCTTCCCCTCTAAAAATACGGATCAAACTCACTCAAACTCCTCAATCTTCTTGTCTCCTTTATCTACTTCGTCCTCTTCCCCCACGTCCCCATCTACTCCGGAAGCAGAAATGTCTGTGGACGCGTGCCTCATCTCCAGGCTGATGCCCTCCAGCCTGCGCCACAAATCCCCATACAGGCGGACCAGCTTGGGGTAGTCCACCTCCAGTGCTTGGCGGATGAACGGAGAATCTGCAAGGCAATTGGACCTCTGATGAATAACTTCCCTACTATGATCTGCATTAATTCCATTCCCTCCCATTACAGTTACAAAATTACAGGACTGAGATATGAACCCCTAAAACCTGGATGACATGATCATCATGTCATGAAAAGATTTGGCTTGAGGGACGGGTGACAAGAACACACCATTATAGGAAAACCTTGTTGAGGGCCAGGGTGACGCAAACTTGCCATCCTGAGCATACCGGCTGAAGACCAGGGCAACAGGAATGACTCACCACAAGTGCACAAACCTCTTGGAGGGTGGTGATTAGACTCATTTAGCATTATTTAAAGGAGTGTGGAATGTACTGTCCGTGAGCTATGACTGGAAGAGCACCGACTCTGTGAAAGATGCTGTTTCTATACTCAGGATCCTACACCTGCCTGCTATGATCAGCTGCACAGGTTGTATTACAGAAAATTGAATATTATATGATATGGAGCCTGTGCAAGGAAAACAGTCTATTAGTTTGGTTGTCATTGTGTCACAAACTATTTCTCCAGGTGGTAGAAAAAAAAAAAATCCTTGGAAAGTCAATACTAAAAGACTTAGGATTTTGATTAAAAAAAAAAAAAAAAAAAAAAAAAAAAAAAAATATATATATATATATATATAATATATATATATATATATATATATATATATATATATATATATATATATATATATATATATATATATATATATATATAAGGTTATGAAATATGCACTTTTCTCATGGAAAGTATGGGCATAAAAATTCACACAATCTCAACCTTTCTCAGCATACCAAAAATCACAAAATTCCAAATACATACGTGAATTAATAAAACAAACAAACAAATTAAAATAAGTAAATAAACAAACGTAAGAACCAGCAGAATAGGATCAGAATAAAGGCGCGAGACAAACACGCCAACTCGCTAACTCACCCTGAGCAGCTTTTGCAAACTCTTCCGTCAAGATGCGGGTGATGTTCCTCCACACCCGCGTGAACAAGTCGCTGTTGCTGTGACGCTGCACCTCATCCAGAAAGCAGACGTGGGTCACAGGATCCCTTTTCTTTGCTAAGACCTTGAAGAAGGAAGAAAATGACATAAATCTTTCCATATGACCTTTCATTGGTCTTTCTTCTTATGCTTATTACACACTGAATGCATTAATTGCTTATAAATAAATATGTGTAATGAATTAATTCTATAAAATCTAGTCCTTGATAAAAATGTGTAATTAGTTATTGCAAAACTGGTAATCAAATCATACCTTGTGAAGATGTGACGTCTGAACGCACACATGGTATATATCATCCATCAACTTCTCCAGGTTTGACCACAGAGAGGCTCTAAACTGCGCAGACTGTCCTGGCGCAGGCATGATAGCTTTCCCGGGACCAGCTGAAAATAGGAACAAGAAAAATGTAAAGGAACTGCACTAATAATTCTATTCTGAGGTTGTGCTACACCATCACCTACCTCAGAATGGCACAACTCCATCTTCATTGGTTTTGATTAAGGAATGGTTAAAATTATGGCAGGTTTTGCACTGACACTGGCAGGGGCAGCTGTGAAAAGTTAACAAAGTTTGCTGGCATGGGATTAGAACGGTGTTCATCAAACCAAAGCAGATTTAATACAGAGCCAGCAATTATAAAACATACATTTATCTCCATTTGCAGCCTGTTCTAGGATCAAGAACAGACTCACTTTAGTTACACCAAGGAGTCCTTAAGGCTGAATGGAGAGAGATAAAGGATAAAAGGAAAGAAGAGGCAAACAGAGAGACCGGTGGAAGGTTAGAGATTACGCATAACCCACCTTTCGCAGTTCAGCACACCCACCTTTCTTTGTATCCTGATTCATCTGAATGAGTGCATTGACGTCGAGCGAAAGGGACACACTATTGTTGAGGCGAGTGATCAGGGATTCTAGCACCTTCTCCACACTTGGAACGAGAATGCCTAAGTTGTGGAATACCTGAAGAGCTGTTGCAACCTGTGTTCATTAAAAATTATATAATTTAGAGAATATTTATACATACATACCTGATTTTTAAAATTTCATATTAGTCAGCTGACATTCTCAATACTTTCATTTATACAGTTCTTCAGATCTTTTAGTTTCCAAAATTTGCAGTTCAGACAAAGTCCTTTTGCATTACTTAGAGACAGAAAAGTGAAATATCAATAATAAATAAATAATGAAGAGTCAAAACTCTTAAATAATAAAAGAAGGAAAAATCAATCAATGAAAATGAAGAGAAAAGAAAAACTGAGAAAAGCCATGTTCTAAGTTTCTTTTAACTCCCGAAGGAAACCTAAAACAAAATGAACTATGCCATTTGACTCGCCTGAGTTTGGTTTTGCGCCTCCATGCCACGGTCCATCATCGCCACTGCCTGCTTCTCCACATCAGAGCGAGCCTGCCGCACTAGTCTCTGATCCCTTTCCAGAACCTCCAGCCCTGTTAGATCCACATCACGACCCAGGTGGTCTGAGGGAGCAAGAGAAGTTTAGTTAAAAGGAACAAGAAAAGTCAGGGCATTCTGTGTGCCACAAGAGATGAGACAGACATAAGAAATAATCTTAGGAACTAATTCTTCACACAGTGCAACAAAATCTACAATCTGCCAACTGGTATTTTATCTTTCTTTATCATCTCACTGTGCATCTATTATACACAAAAAAGCTTGTGATGCCTTTTACCATAGTACCTAAAAAAAAAAAAATCCAGTCATATCTACCTAGTTCACTCAGACTGCTTGCCGCCTTTGTTATATCTCGAGGTCCATTGGCAAGTTGCTGCTGTAGCCTCTGCGACAACATGAGACAGCGAATGACTCTTCTCAGGAGCTCACAGGTGGCCTGAAGTCTGCCCAGAATGAGTGTGTGCTTCTCCACTCTCTGGTACGGATCCACAACTCGCACTCTCAGCCTCTCCACTCCAGCCAGAAGTGTCTGTTCATACCAATAAATGAAAATGAGCAAAGGTTTATCATATAAAATTGTGCAACTCCCAAGAGACTTCATAATCTACAGGCTGAGTAACAACCTGTAATTTTTTTTTTTTTTAATTCAATGAAACATTACATATCCTTATTTCAATATCAAGAATTCCATATCCTTAACAAAAATTGCCCATTAATTTCCTGGTTTACATACCTGGATTCTGGTGTGCATCGTATTCAGAACATCTTCTAGTGTCTCGACTCCGGTAGCCTGTGACAAAAGGTCTTCGTAGTGGCTCCCAACCTGGCTCTCTATCTCCCGTTCTAAGCGGTTGATTCCTGCCAGATTTTGGAAAGGACATGAGATGAAAAGTGCAGAAATTCACCACCAAAGATATGTAATTGACTTTTCAATATAATGTTTTCATCATGTATTTCCAGTAATTCCTAAACAGAAATCATATTCTTTTGCAAAATTACCAATTCTCACTCACAATTACTCTACAAGGAATATAAGATAACGCAACACGACTCAATAAAGAATAAGAACAACCACACCTATCAATATATTCATCATTATCTAAATAAAAGCTGCCAATACTCCGGCCAAAACCCTAAAACGACATACCAAGAGTAAGTTTATTCAGCTGCTCGGCAATGACAACCCCCTGAACCATCTGGCTAGTATGGCTCTGGACATCGAAGTCCTCCTCCAGAAAAGGTGCATATGTAGCTTGAAAAGGAGAAGCAGAGATTAGACAGCTAATCAACCATCTGTTACATATTGTATTACAAGACTACAGCATTCAAAAAGACGAGGCATTTCTGTGTAATATATACTTCATAAGTAAATGCCTTTTAATAAAGATATCTCATTCTTAAACAAAGTACAATAAATTTCTATGAAGAAAAAAATTAACAAAATGTTTCATTACCATCTTCCTGAAATTCTTTAAACACTGTAGCCGACATTGCTGCTGCAGTGTTATGCTGAAAAGATGATTTTATTGATGCATATATCTAAAATAAAGATACAAACATCAAGATTATTTCTATACACATACATACATTTGAAAGTGGACCCTCATTACCAGAAAACCTTTTAAATAGATATGTGTGTGTGTGTGTGTGTGTGTGTGTGTGTGTGTGTGTGTGTGTGTGTGTGTGTGTGTGTGTGTGTGTGTGTGTGTGTGTGTGTGTGTGTGTGTGTGTGTGTAAGTGTAACAACCTGTAATTTTTTTTTTTTTTATTCAATGAAACATTACATATCCTTATTTCAATATCAAGATTCCATATCCTTAACAAAAATTGCCCATTAATTTCCTGGTTTACATACCTGGATTCTGGTGTGCATCGTATTCAGAACATCTTCTAGTGTCCTCGACTCCGGTAAGCCTGTGACAAAAGGTCTTCGTAGTGGCTCCCAACCTGGCTCTCTATCTCCCGTTCTAAGCGGTTGATTCCTGCCAGATTTTGGAAAGGACATGAGATGAAAAGTGCAGAAATTCACCACCAAAGATATGTAATTGACTTTTCAATATAATGTTTTCATCATGTATTTCCAGTAATTCCTAAACAGAAATCATATTCTTTTGCAAAATTACCAATTCTCACTCACAATTACTCTACAAGGAATATAAGATAACGCAACACGACTCAATAAAGAATAAGAACAACCACACCTATCAATATATTCATCATTATCTAAATAAAAGCTGCCAATACTCCGGCCAAAACCCTAAAACGACATACCAAGAGTAAGTTTATTCAGCTGCTCGGCAATGACAACCCCCTGAACCATCTGGCTAGTATGGCTCTGGACATCGAAGTCCTCCTCCAGAAAAGGTGCATATGTAGCTTGAAAAGGAGAGGCAGAGATTAGACAGCTAATCAACCATCTGTTACATATTGTATTACAAGACTACAGCATTCAAAAAGACGAGGCATTTCTGTGTAATATATACTTCATAAGTAAATGCCTTTTAATAAAGATATCTCATTCTTAAACAAAGTACAATAAATTTCTATGCAGAAAAAAATTAACAAAATGTTTCATTACCATCTTCCTGAAATTCTTTAAACACTGTAGCCGACATTGCTGCTGCAGAGTTATGCTGAAAAGATGATTTTATTGATGCATATATCTAAAATAAAGATACAAACATCAAGATTATTTCTATACACATACATACATTTGAAATTGGACCCTCATTACCAGAAAACCTTTTAAATAGATATGTGTGTGTGTGTGTGTGTGTGTGTGTGTGTGTGTGTGTGTGTGTGTGTGTGTGTGTGTGTGTGTGTGTGTGTGTGTGTGTGTGTGTGTGTGTATGTGTGTGTGTGTGTGTGTATGTGTGTGTATGTGTGTGTGTGTGTGTGTGTGTGTGTGTGTGTGTGTGTGTGTGTGTGTGTGTGTGTGTGTGTGTGTGTGTGTGTGTGTGTGTGTGTGTGTGTAAGTGTGTGTGTATATGTCTGTATGTATGTATGTATGTACATATATATATATATATATATATATATATATATATATATATATATATATATATATATATATATATATATATATATATATATATATTAATGTTTAATCTGACCCATACATGTATAACTATATCTATCAGATGTACAATTATATAGATCTTCTCCACTAAACCTGCTCTCTTTTCCATGCACTTCCAATGAAAACCAGGAATTGCATTCCCCCACAAATATATAATTATTTGCACTATTATTTCTCAGTACTTTTAAGACCAACACCGTTGTGGCCGTGTCCAGTAACACCTCTGTGACTTCAGTGATTAAGCAGAGGACACCAAACCTCCACTCTGAACACTCTGGCATCAAAAATTTTAGGACGATTCCGTAGCTGACGATAAATTGCAGGAAAGGTCTACAAGTCCCAATTAACCAGACTACAAATGGACATCCAGACGAGTAAGCCTGACCAACAGGATTGCCCCGAGGCAAGCAAACTATTGCTGATTCTTTAGTCAGCTGCGTGCCCAATCTGTCACTTGTCAACTGTCATGCATGCCCACCGACCAGGCTGCTCCTCTGGACATGCCTTTGTGTTAAGAGTTTTGCTTGAGCACCAAAGACACAGAGGTGCTAATGTCTGGTGGATGAAGAACAGATCATGAATAAATAATAGAGGTAAACATGAATTTATGAATCTATTTATCAAATAAACTTGAACTGGCGTGTCAAATGGAGTGAGCCGAGAGTGCCGGTCAAAGTTCTGCCTTTGATTTATGTGTTTTGAGCTTTTAGACTCAGAATGGACACTGAACGTTTGTCGCAGATCTGTTTTAACTTTACGAATATTTCATTATGTCGTCAATAAAATAATATTTGAACAAAACAAACCTCAGAAATAATCATAACTTGTTTACTTGTTTGACCAACCCATCTTTCTTAAAATAAAGACCATGATCAGTAGAATTTTCGTTTTCTCATGATAAGAAATGCATATTTATGTGTATTCTCTCCACTGCAAATTTACCTTTCCTCTAAATTCCCTAAAAACAATTAAAACAAGAAACAGGTTTAATTCACCGCAGTCAGTCCTGTCACATCACCAAAATATAGACGAAATGAAGACAACAAAAAGATAAATGACAGTCTGGAGGAGAACATAGGATCGAAGGTGTGTGTGATCTCTTTGTTTGCCTAATTATCTAAAATCTTCAAGTATTTGATTTATTGATATAGCAATTATATTTTTTTGTAGGTGATTATTGTCTTATTTTCGATTTATTCCAAAAATACTGGAAAGTCTTGAAGTCATATGGCGTATACGACTATTAAATTTGCTATAACCATTTACTTATTTTCAAATAAGTATGTTAATAAATCTGAAATTTCTATAATAATCCCAAATACTATTATAACTCTTGTCATTATAGAGCACCCGATTCCTTAGCAGCATCAGAATTTCCTTTGACGCATCGAACCTGAAGGGAAGATTCCGTCGTCTATACTTTAATGTAAACACGATCAGCTGTTTTGAGGAAGAGGCGGAGGCGAAGACGCTCCCTGTTTCCAGCTTTTTCCGAGGCGTCTGGGGCGTTTGGTGAGGCAGTCATGGGGGCTATAACCAGTAGACAGAACGCTGGCGTGGAGGAGGTGGATATTGGGGTCAACCACGCCTACAGATACCCTCCAAAATCAGGTAAGTTTGGGTGGGTGCGAGTGTAGGTCATGAGTAAGCTCGAGAAGAAAAACCCAAGGGTGTTATTTTCTGGCTGGGTATTTTTTTCTCCCTTTTGCTTTTGCTTTGTTTTGTGTTGGTTTACGTTTTTATATTGCTCATTTGTTGTTCGGTTGTTAAAGTGAGTCTTACTTTTTTGTTTTTTGTTTTCTAGTTTCCATTCGTCGTTGTTTTGATTTTTAGTTTACTTTGTGAGTGTTATTTTTTCTGCTTTTTATAGTTTTTAGTCAACATTAAGTTTTTTTATTCTTGTTTTTATTGACTTTGGAAGGCATAGCAAGTGCATATCCATGATATTTGTGAAGACTCCACATTGCAATGATATTTAGGTTCACACTGTGGCCTTCAATGATAAAGATGCTTATAATGATAATGATGAGAAAAGTAATAATCATTATAATAGTAGTACTGCAACAATAACTGTATTCCTTATGGTGATGATGATGATGATAGAGGAAATATTTTTAGATGTAACTACCAATCCTACGTGCCATATCCACTGTGTTCACTCACGATGGTTCCTTAGTCACCATGGAGTCAATTACTAGTCCTTTCTATCTGACCTGTTTACCCTTTTCCTTAATTATAAAAAAGACTTATTCATTAGTGCCATCAGTATGTTAATGTAATAATCATGATGCCAATAATGATAACATTATAATTTTTCATAGTATTAGAAATGAAATAATTTCCCCCAAATTCAATGAAGGAAATTCATGCGAGATCATATAAGCTTACTGATTGACTCCTTGGTGGCTGAGCACTAGTGGAACCGTCTGTGTGCTACTAAATTCATGATAGACAGTACACATATTTGTGCACAGATGGTGAATGATAATAAAGTTATTTCACTTCTATGGAATGTTTACCTTAAAGTATTGATATAAATTTAAATTAATTTCTTGTTACTTTTTCATAAGAGGAAATTGCAGCTAATCTATTTTTCACCATGTGTTTCCATAAGTGGACAGAAATGTATAGCAAAAGAAACATTTATCTACTATTGTTAGGATAAGTTGATTTAGGTTGGTTGAGATAAATACTGGGCTGATACTGAATCTGATAAAAGGGCAACAGTTATACAGATTAATTGTAGTTTATCACATGATGAGTCATCAGGAAGCCTCATGCAACTTTCTTTGTTTTGATAATGGCAAATGATTTTTGCTCTCCACTCTAGAGTACTCATGGAATGGTTATAGCATGCAGCATACTAGTTGTAAATTTTACTTCTTCATTTTTATAAGGTTTTCATCAAGAAGGCGATACCATGTTACTTCAAGTATTAACCCATTCACCCCATGTGGCAAGAATACATGCCATGCCCACTGTAATACATGTTTATTTATTGTATTTACACATAGATGGCTCTACAAGTTCTTAATCACCAAATAGTCAGTTATCAGAACTACCTTTCTCACCTGTTTACCCCTTTCCTTCACTTTAAGAAAGGGTCTTTTGTATTATTTCATTGTCTAAAATATTTTAATGATAATCTGATAATCATAACTTCAATAACGATAATAACAGTATCAGTAGCAACAGTATTAATAAGAAAAACACATTTTCCCACCAATTCAATGAATGGGAAAATCAGGGTCGGTAACTAGGGCCTACTGATAGACTCCTTGCACATGTGGAGCCATCTGTATGTAACAAAAATCACCAAAAACTACAGGGAACAGAACATAAATCTGGGGTGAATGGGTTAATGGACATCCTTTCAGGAAAAAAGTGTTTCTCTTTTACTTTGTATTTTTTGATGGAGTAATTTGTTTATTGCATTGTCTTTCAGGAAACTACTTCAGCAGTTATTTCATTATGGGAGGGGAACGGTTTGACACAGCAGTGCCAGAGATGTATCTCTTTGGTGAGAACATGGATGTCAACTTTTTAGGTTCTCGTCCAGCTCCAGTAAGTCGTTTTGTAATCTCTCGAAGTTAGATTTCTTTATATGTATATATTTTTTTTTATCTGTTTTACTGCAGGTCTTTTCTTGTAAGTTATCCTTAACATGCTGAACAATTAAATTTATACTAATTAAGTCTTGAAGACTTTATAGCAGTACATGTACTAACTGTCATGAGATTAAAAAAACAAGCACTAATTAAATATGAACCTCTCTCTTCTCTTCCAGTTTCCCTATCCTGCTCCAACAGCAAATGAACCAAGCAAAACACTAAAGGCACTCCTCAATATAAGGAAAGAGAGCTTGCGCTTTGTGCGAGCACCAGACGACTCTGCCATGTTAAAAGAGGCAGAGGATAGAACGGCCACAACTAGATTTAACATTGAGTTCACTTTTGACTGTGATGTGCGATGTGCTATAACTATCATGTACTTCTGTACTGAAGAGGTGACAAGCAATGGAATAATGTAAGTCGTTTGGGGCTTGTTGTCTGTGTTTGTGGATTTTATAGTAATGTGATGGTTTCATGAAGTATTGGATCCTATGGTTTATATGAATATTGAACAATGATTTTCGGTTTATTGGGTTTTGTTTCTTGTTTTTCAATATTTGTTAATAGACATATTGTTCCGTCATATGGCAATACATTCCAGATTTAAGGTTTGTCATCACTCTGAGCAATAGAAACATACAAAAAGTAATTTTAATGTCTTCATTTCCCAGCTACACTCCACGTGATCCCAACATGAATTCGGAGACCTACCACTACAAGCGAGGAGCAAATCAACAGTTTTCACAAGTCTGCCATGTGTTTGACCCATCACTATACCCCGAGGAAGATCTGATGTATAGCTTTGACCGTGAAGTTATGCCCATCGTCATTTACTGTCTGGCAGAGGAAGGGGAAGGTTGGTTATTTTATGATGGTCATTTTGTTGTCTTTTTTTCTCCTTTCGTCTGTTAGGGTTAATGGAAGTCCAGGACTATAGTATTGTTGGCATAATTAACCCTTTGCCGCTGGGTGGCATGTACGTACATGCCATGGCATGCCTGGACTAGATTCCGGGTGGCATATGCGTACGTGCCATGGTGTGCCGGTCCCGTTTTCTGGGAGCATTTACGGTGATTTCTTGTATGCTGCCGACATGATCCCTCGGGCCACTATGAATACAGCCCAGAAGAGAGGGCCTTTGCATGGGGAAACCACCCGGTGGCATTGGGTTAATGTATGTGTGTTCATGTTCTCTTTGATATTATTGAATTAAGTCAAATGAAAATCACTGAGAAAGATTTTTAAGCTGGACTTCATGTTGAGAATCTGCTTTTGTTTTATTGTTCAGCATTTACTTGACTGTGTCATTAGCTTACACACGAAAGGGCAACCATGATGTATGATGTGAAGATGAATTTTCCACAGAGCCTCGCCAGTCCCACGTGACGTTCGCTGTGGTGGAGAAGCACAGCGAGGGATATGTCTTGAAGCCCCTCAAGCAAAAGCTGTTCGTGGACGGGCTGTCGTACCTCCTGCAGGAAATCTATGGCATCGAGAACAAAAAAGCAGACAATGCCAAAGTAAGATTAGATTGTAGAGCAGCGATTCTTAACCTTTTCATGCTGCTAGACCCCTCACTCGCCCCCAATGGATTGTCCAGTATGGTCCCACACTCACTCCCCCTAGCTGTCAAGATATTCATCACCATCTGTCCTGTTACTTTGAGAAACATCATTTGTTACTTCTGTCTTTTGTCCATGGAAGTCTATGGTAGTACTCATGTTTGATGTTAAGATATGGACTAGCAGGGCTTGTTAACCCTTGGCCACTGGGGGGCATTTTCTGGAGGCATGTATGGTCATGCCACGTACACTAGGGTGACAACACGATCCCCCAGCAGCAGGCCCCAGGCCATTATGAATACAACCCAGGAGAGCGGGCTTGCATACCAGGAAATCACCCATTGGCATTGGTTAATATTCTGGCTTGTTAATTTTCTTTATTCTATTCTATCACAAAATGAGTGTTGGCAATTGTGCGTGTTTACTCCGTAGGTGGCAACAGAGGAGGACACAGAGGATAATGGAGCAGAATGTGTCATCTGCATGTGTGACCTGCGAGACACTCTCATTCTGCCCTGCCGTCATCTGTGTCTGTGTAATTGCTGTGCAGATTCCCTCAGGTATGTGGCACATTGTGTGATTTGTGTTCATATTAGTTAACTGGCTGTGAATAAAAGTTCTGTTCGCCTAGACACTTGCTTGAAAATATTGTTCATGTTATTAAATGCTTTCAGACAATTTGACAGTTTGGACAGTGTATAATGGCTCAAAATGTAATCTTTACATATCACACTGTCATTGTGATAGTTTTGCCATCACCATTAAGTATCTTCCAGCCACCTGACCATGTAAAAATAATTCTCCGAACAGATACCAAGCCAACAACTGCCCCATTTGCCGTGCTCCATTCAGAGCTTTGCTGCAGATAAAAGCCCTTCAGAAGAGTACTGGACAGGTGACCAATCCACAGCCAAACACTGAGGTATGGAATAGTCTCAGATACTAAAGTTAACACATTGACAGATGTTTTTAAGGCAGTTTGGTCTTTTAAATCCTGCTGCAAGAACATGCATGTTTGGAATCCTCTTTTTAGACAGTTCTGTTATGTAACTAAGTATATATGTGTATATATCTGCAAAAAGTGATGATAGTGATAATGGTTTCAATAGTGACTGCTAGTATTTGTAGTAGTAGTAGTACTAATAAAGATATTGGTAATGTTTTAATGGCAATACTGATAGTAATACTGATGGATTTAATAATGGTAAGAATGACGTTGATTAGAGTAATGATGATCATCATTATGATCGTGATGGTAAAAGGATGATGAAATTAGTATTTATTATATGAAATTACAAGTAGATTGTCATTATTAAAATATTGAAGATTTATTATGAAACATAAGCCTCAAATTCTATTCTGATTGACATTTGTTGTATTTGTCATCATGAGAAGGTTTATATATGAGAAAAGTAATTTATAGAATCATTTTACATTACCAATTGTTTCTTGTTTAGATCAGATTAGCTTGTGAGCTAGTTATAGCATACAGTTGAGCTTTATTTACACACTTAAATTTGTCATTATTTTTCCTAATTCTAAACCTTTATTTCTTGTACTTTATACCCCAACACAGTTATCCTCTTTCTCTTTATAATCATTCTAAGTGAACATTACCATCTTTGTGAGATAAAATATAAAAAATAAAAAAAAAGATTAAAAAAATAAAACTTTTCTCCCCGTCACCCTCTCTGCACAACACTATGCACAGTGCATGGCTCGCCTGTCTCTCATTTAACCCGGAGTTCCTGCCACTAGGTAGACAAGGCTGCGCATGTGGTAGTTTCGTTCTTGCCAGACAAGCAAGGAGACTGCGAGGATGATGAGGGTTGGCTTGCATGCACTGCTTTGGTATGGGATAATTGTACTTTTATGGATGTTTTGCTATACACGTTGAATATACTGTTACAGGTAAGTGACCAACTGTTGACATTTTGAATATATTTGTGCGGTATTTCTCTCTTTGTGTATATATCTGTGTGTTTGTTTTCACATGCATGTACGTGCAAGTTTGTATGTATATGAATAGATAGGTAGAAAGGTATAGATATTGATAATGATATTAAGTATGTTTTATGCATGCATACATTCCATTTATGCATGTGTTCATATGTGTATATTTATATATTTATTTATTTACTTATTTATTTATACACGCACACACGCACACGCACGCGCGCACACACACACACACACACACACACACACACACACACACACACACACACACACACACACACACACACACACACACACACACACACACAGATGATAATAACAATAAATTTTATAATATTCAATTTCCCATGACACACCCTGCATTGACAATAAAGGAAATAAGGAATAGGTTGCTGCTTATGGGAATAGAGTATTCATGAAAGGCTAGCACTCTTCCAGGCTCACCAATGGTACATTCCACCTGTATTTACTGGTGGAAATGATGCAAGAGCCCCGTCTTAAAGGCCTTCTGAGTCAAATCTCCCTCTCAGAGCTTTGTGGAATGTCCCTGTCACCTGCCACTTAGCAAAAGTATTTCTTGATGACATGTTCCCCAACTCGCCAAATATTTTCATTTCTGTACATTCCTGTCACCTGTCACTCAGCCAGATATTTTCATGACATTGCCATTGCCCGGATCCAATGGGTTAACATGATCTGGCCATGGGTTTTGTAGTGAAAATGACAGTTTAACTCTTGCAACACACTCCATTCTGTAGGTTACAAAAAACTCATGAAAGGAAACTCTCTAGTGAGAGTTTCACCCTCCTGAGCAGTCCAGAGGGAGTGTATCAAGGCAGCTTAGGATAATGTCAAAAAAGATCTTTAAGAAATGTTTCTAGCAGTGGTAAAACCTCGTAGCTATAGGTGTAGACAGCTCAGGTATCTACTTTCAAGGATATAAAGGTTTCTTAGATTTAGCCAGTATGTATTTCATTTTATGACCAAAAGTAGAATACTTTTCCATTAGACTTCGTCTATACATACATAGATGTATACATATGTATTAGCATATAATTCATGTGAATGAATGAAAGGTTTCTGATTTTTTTTCTTCTTCTTTTTCCTCTGTTCTTTTCTTCTCACTTCTTCAGGAAACTAAATGCATATCTGTGATTTTTCTCAGATTGGAAACCTGGATGCCCCTGACATTGCTAAATACCAACATGACACTTATGCTAAATTATTTGTAGGTTTGCTCTATGCATTTCTCTTTTAGTAAGGAAATCAGTAGCATAGATTAACACTTTAACACTTTGAAAGATCTCTAGGGTGAATTTTTTTAACACCATAGAAAAGATACTATATGGATGGTGTAAAATTGAATAAAAGATCATTTAAATTTGCTTTCTCCTCCCTACCCCAGGGCTGTGATATTCAGAGGTCCAGCTGATGTCCCAGCAGATGCCATTGCGCCGCAATGAAGCCTCGAGGTATTTTTCATTTTTGCTTGATTAATTTTTTTTTTTCTTCTTCGGAATAGTTGATTATGGACCCTCGGTGGCTCCCCTGCAGCCCACGGCCCCGCCTGCCCATGATCGGTACGTCCAGCTGCCTCAGAGTCCAGCTGATGTCCCAGCAGATGCCATTGCCCGCAATGAAGCCTCGAGGTATTTTTCATTTTTGCTTATTAATTTTTTTTTTTCTTCTTCGGGAATAGTTGATTTTTTTTTTTTTTTTCTGGAGTCTTCTATTTGCCACAGAGGCTGATTGTACCTACAATAAGTTTTGCATAGGTTTTTTAAGGCAAAAGCAGCAAGTGATTGTAAATTTTTTATCTCAAACCAAATCATTTTTAATTCAGTGAGAAATACATACCTTAGAGCTAAAATTGGTAAGTGCAGAGATGTAATCTAATTGCCAAATGTGTTTCAGATGCTTTATTGAGAGCATCACAATCAGATCTGGCACAGGGACCTTGGAGGACTCTACCACACAGACCGAACAGCCACCCAGTTCTTGTGAGATGAATAACAGCTCATCTGTAGTTCCTGAGGTTGGTGGTTTTATTTGCTTTTCTTATTATTATGATTATTTCTGTTCACTCTGGTCACTCTGCTTACTCTGGTCCTTGCATCATTTACCTGTGTTTCTAATAAGTGTATGGTGGCCTTTTTTTTGGACTTTATCAGTATTAAAAGTGTATGGATGACAGTAATGTTAAAAAATGTATTTATGAATAAAACCAGTGCTGAAAGTTGGATTTGTGAAGGACGTTAATCTATTCTCTGACTGTCTGTCTCCTGCCCTGTCCAGATGCGTATGTCAGTTCTGCTTGCTCAGGAGTCAGATGATGTCACAAGTACAAAGATGGAGAACCTTGCAAGCACCCCTGTGTCTTCAGCAAAGAAGAAGGGGCTTTTTTTGGACTTTATCAGTATTAAAAGTGTATGAATGACAGTAATGTTAAAAAATGTATTTATGAATAAAACCAGTGCTGAAAGTTGGATTTGTGAAGGACGTTAATCTATTCTCTGACTGTCTGTCTCCTGCCCTGTCCAGATGCGTATGTCAGTTCTGCTTGCTCAGGAGTCAGATGATGTCACAAGTACAAAGATGGAGAACCTTGCAAGCACCCCTGTGTCTTCAGCAAAGAAGAAGGCAGGCCGCAAACATTCCCGGGAGAAGCAGCAGTTTGGCTCTAAGGACAGCGTAAAAATTGTGAATGAAATTGGGGGACAACGTAACAAGGAAGTATGATAAACTTCTAGTCTTTGGTTTGATGCTCTTAAACTTTACGGACAATGTTTAACCCAATTTTGGCTGTTTTATGTACTGTCCCCTTAAGATTTTAATGAATTTTGTTACATGCAGATGGCTCCACATGTGCTCAGCCAGCAAGGAGTCTATCAGTAGCCCTAGTGACCGATCCTGATTTCCCCATTCCTGGAATTGGCGGGAAAATGTGTTTTTCTTTCCAGTAGTGTTAATATTGACATTGTTATCATTCTTATTGATATTATGATTATTTAGTTGATATTTGACTATTAATAACATCAAAGACCATAAAATGATAGAAATGAAGCTTTCAAAAAATGAAGGAAAAGGGTAAACAGATGAGATAGGTAAGACTAATAGCTGACTCCTTGGTGACTAAGCACTTGTAGAGCCATCTATGTGTAAAGACAATAGATAAACTCTTTTTACAATGGGCATGGCATTGTAGTCTTGCCGCCCGAGCTAATTAAGTTAAAGGGGATGCTGAATGATCTTTTGGTGCTGCTGTTGCTTTTGTTTTGATCTTGGATGCCGTCTCTGTAATTGTTCCAAGGGACCTGTTACTTTAGCAAACCACTTTACTTCATTTGAAATTTTTTGAACAACTTTGCTCTAGATTGTTTTAGTTTAAATGAACTATTATTATAGTTGATTAAAGTATATGTAGGATGGACTTTAATGATAAAAGAAAACTATGATTTTTTAAGATTACATAGTCTTAATCACATCAGGCACATACAAGGTCAGTGTGTCACTCAGGTTTTTTATGTTGTTCTTGATGTGTAGCACCTCAGGCATTACATGAAACTGAAGGCTTGATGGACTTTAAAGATTGTATTTATTTTCAGACTGTGAGTGTGAGCAAGACATAAGAAGTGAATGCTGTTCAGATTTAGTGATATCACACAGTACTCACAGATCTTATTTTTTCTTGTTCAGTGACATGATGGTTAAGTTTGACTTGGTAAAAATGTATATTTCATATCAAATATATTTGAAATCACTGATCAAGATCATTATGATTTAAGAATAAGGTAAGGATGGTTTAGATAAGAATGATGTTGCAGGTGGGCAATCATAGTCTCCCAAGAATTTAGT